TATGCCCTTGGACTTAGATAAAACTTTGGCTTATGCTGCCTTAGATAAAAACTTTGGCTTATGCCCTTACCTTAGATGAAACTTTGGCCTTATGCCACTTGCCTAGATTAAACTTTGCTTAATGCCTTGCCTTAGAAAAACTTGGCTTATCCCTTGCCTTGATAAAACTTTGGCTTATTGCTTAACCTTAGAAAAACTTTGGTCTTATGCCCTTGCTTAGATAAAACTTTGGGCTTATGCCCTCTTACCTTAAGATGAAACTTTGGCTTATATCCTTACGGTTAGAAAAACCTTTGGTATCCTTGCCTTAGATAAAACTTTGGATATATCTTACTTTAGATAAAACTTTGGTTATATCCATTACCTAGATAAAACTTTGGCTTATATCTGTACCTTAGATAAAACTTTGGCTTATGCCTTGCCTTAGATAAATCTTTGCCTCTTTGTCCCTTACCTTAGATAAAACTTTGGCTATATCCTTACCTTAGATAAACACTTTGGCTTATGCCCTTGCCTTAGATAAAACAGTTGGCTTATGCCCTTACGCTTAGATGAAAAACTTGGCTTATATCTACTAGATAAAATACTTTGGCTTATGCCCCTTTGCCTTAGATTAAGACTTGGCTTATCCCTTCCTTAGAACTAAAATTTTGGCTTACTGCCCCTTACCTTAGATGAAATCTTTGGCTTATATCCCTTAACCTTAGATAAATCTTTGGCTTATCCTTACCTTGAGAAAAACTTGGCTTATATCCTTACCTTAGATAAACTTTGGCTTATGCCCTGCCTTAGATAAAACTTTGGCTTATGCCCCTTGCCTAGATAAAACTTTGGCTTTAGTGCCCTTACCTAGATGAAACTTTGGCTTATATCCTTACCTAGATAAAACTGTTAGGCTTATGCTCTTGCCTTAGATTAAACTTTGGCTTATCCCTTGCCTTAGATAAAACTTTGGCTTATGCCTTACCTTAGATGAAACTTTGGCTATGCCCTTAGCCTTAGATAAAACTTTGGCTTATCCCTTGCCTTAGTAAAACTTTGGCTTATCCCTTAGCCTTAAGATGAAACTTTGGCTATACTCCTTTAACCTTAAGATAAACTTTGGGCTTATGCCCTTGCCTTAGATTAAACTTTGGCCTTATGCCCTTCCCTTAGATTAAACTTTGGCTTATGCCCTTTGCCTTAGAATAAAACTTTGGCTTATGCCCTTACCTTAGATGAAACTTTGGCTTATATCCTTACCTTAGATAAACTTTGGCTTATTATGCCTTGCCTTTAGATAAAACTTTGGGCTTATGCCCTTGCCTTAGATAAAACTTTGGCTTATGCCCTTGCCTTAGATAAAACTTTGGCTTATGCCCTTGCCTTAGATTAAACTTGGCTTATATCCTTACCTTAGATAAAACTTTGGCTTTATGCCTTGCCTTAAGATAAAACTTTGGCTTGATCCCTTGCCTAGATAAAACTTTGGATTATGCCCTTACCTTAGATGAAACTTTTGGCTTATGCCCTTGCCTTAGATTAAATTTGGCTTATGCCGCTCCTTAGATAAAACTTTGGTTTGCCTTGCCTTAGATAAAACTTTGGCTTATATCCTTAACCTTAGATAAAACTTGGCTTATGCCCTTCGCCTTAGATTAAACTTTGGCTTATGCCCTTACTTAGATAAACTTTGGCTTATATACCTTACCTAAGATAAAACTTGGCTTATGCCCTAGCCTTGAGTAAACTTTGGCTTTATCCCTTACCGTTAGTAATAAAACTTTGGCTTATATCCTTACCTTAGATAAAACTTTGGCTTATATCCTTACCTTAGATAAAACTTTGGCTTATACCCTTGCCTTAGATAAAACTTTGTGCCTTTTGTCCTTACCTTAGATAAAACTTTGGCTTTATCCATTACCTTAGATAAAACTTTGGCTTATGCCTTGCCTAGAGATAAAACTTTGTGCTATGCCCTTACCTAGATGAAACTTTGGCTAATATCCTTACCTTAGATAAAACTTTGGCTTATGCCCTTTGCTTAGATTAACTTGGCTTATGCCCTTGCCTTAGATAAAACTTTGGCTTATGCCCTTACCTTAGATGAAACTTTGGCTTATATCCTTAACTTAGATAAAACTTTGGCTATATCCTTGCCTTAGATAAACTTTGGCTTATGCCCTTACCTTAGATGAAACTCTTGGCTTATGCCCTTGCCTTAGATTAAAACTTTGGCTTATGCCCTTGCCTTAGATAAACTTTGGCTTATCCTTGCCTTAGATAAAACTTTGGCTTATGCCCTTACCTTAGATGAAACTTTGGCTTTATATCTTCTTTAGATAAACTTTGGCTTATGCCCTTGCCTTAGATAAAACTTTGGCTTATATCCTTACCTTAGATATAAAACTTTGGCTATATACCTTACCTTAAATAAAACTTTGGCTTATATCCTTCCTAGATAAAACTTGGCTTATGCCCTTGCCTTAGATAAAACTTTGGCCTTTTGTCCTTACCTTAGATAAAACTTTGGCTATGCCCTTGCCTTAGATAAAACTTTGGCTTATTCCCCTTGCCTTAGTTAAAACTTTGGCTTATGCCCTTACCTTAGATGAAACTTTGGCTTATATCCTTACCTTAGATAAAACTTTGGCGAGTTTGACATGCCCTTGCCTTAGCATTAATCTTTGGCTTATCGCCCTTGCCTTAGATAACTTTGGCTTATGCCCTTGCCTTAGATAAACTTTGGCTTTAATGCCTTACCTTAGATGAAACTTTGGCTTAATCCTTACCTTAGATAAAACTTTGGCTTATGCCTTGCCTTAGATAAAACTTGGCTTATGCCCTTGCCTTAGATAAAACTTTGTTCAGCATTATGGCCCTCCTTAGATAAAACTTTGGCTTACCTTGCCCTAGAGATAAAACTTTGGCTTATTCCGCTTCCTGTTAGATAAAACTTTGGCTTATGCCTTGCCTTAGATAAAACTTTGGCTTATGCCCTTCCTTAGATGAAAACTTTGGCTTATCCTTATCTTAGATAAACTTTGCTATACTTGCCTTAGATTAAACTTGTGCGTATGCCACTTGCCTTAGATAAAACTTTGGCTTATGCCCTTGCCTTAGGATAAAACTTTGGCTATATCCTTACCTTAGATAAAACTTTGGCTTATGCCCCTTGCCTTAGATTAAAACTTTGGCTTATGCCCTTACCTAATGAAACTTTGGCTTATAATCCTTACCCTTATAAAACTTTGGCTTATGCCGTTGCCTTAGATAAAACTTTGGCTTATTCCTTACCTTAGATAAAACTTTGGCTTATATCCTTACCTTAGATAAAACTTTGGCTTATATCCTACTATTAGATAAAACTTTGGCTTATGCCTTGCCTTAGAAAAACTTTGCCTTTTCCTACCTTAGATACTTCTTATAATCCTTAGATAAACTTTGGCTTTATGCCCTTGCCTTAGATAAAAACTTGGCTTATGCCCTTGACGAACTTAGATGAAACTTTGGCTTATATCCTTACCTTAGATAAAACTTTGGCTTATGCCCTTGCCTTAACGTATACATGGCTTATGCCCTTGCCTTAGATAAAACTTTGGCTTATGCCCTTACCTTAGATCGAAACTTTGGGCTTATATCCTTAACTTTAGATAAACTTTGGCTTATATCCTTGCCTTAGATAAAACTTTGGCTTATGCCCTGTAACCTTAGATGAAACTTTGGCTTATGCCCTTGCCCTAGAGTTAAACTTGGCTTATGCCCTTGCCTTAGATAAAACTTTGGCTTATGCCCTTGCCTTAGATAAAACTTTGGCTATAGCCCTTACCTTAGATGAAACTTTGGCTTATGATCCTTACCTTAGATAAAACTTTGGCTTATGCCGTTGCCTTGAGATAAAACTTTGGGCTTTATATCCTTACCTTAGATAAACTTTGGCTATATCCTTGCCTTAGATAAACTTTGGCTTATATCCTTACCTTAGATAAAACTTTGGCTCTAATTGCCCCTTGCCTTAGATAAAACTTTGCTTTGTCCCTACCTTAGAAAAACTTGGCTTATATCCTTACCTTAGATAAAACTTTGGCTATGCATTGCCTTAGATAAAACTTTGGCTTATGCCCTTACCTTAGATGAAACTTTGGCTTATATCCTTACCTTAGATAAAACTTTGGCTTATATGCCCATTGCCTTAGATAAAACTTTGGCTTATGCCCTTGCCTACGAATAAAACTTTGGCTTATGTTTATCTAAGGTAAGGATATAAGCCAAAGTTTTATCTAAGGTAAGGACAAAAGGCAAAGTTTTATCTAAGGCAAGGGCATAAGCCAAAGTTTTATCTAAGGTAAGGATATAAGCCAAAGTTTTATCTAAGGTAAGGATATAAGCCAAAGTTTCATCTAAGGTAAGGGCATAAGCCAAAGTTTTATCTAAGGCAAGGGCATAAGCCAAAGTTTAATCTAAGGCAAGGGCATAAGGCAAAGTCGGTCAAGGAATGATAAGCACTGCAGGATGTTGGTACTCTGTGGAACTTTGGAAAAGAGGCTAGGCCTAAAGAGTATGTAACGCAAACGAGCGCTTACCATCACAGCAAAGTCATACATGAATGGGACAAATGCAACTTAGAAGTAGAGTGACATATCACAGTGATGTTTATAAATGATTCAGCAAGAGAAATTTCTAAACCTTAAAGGTGAATTTAATCTGACTCATCCTTCATCTCAACGAGACTGCAATGCTGCTTAAGAGAAATCTGATAGCAAAGACGAAATAAAAAAATGTATATTGTTAATAAATTAAGCCTCAAAGGAAACAAAAGAACGTTTTAGACTAAATAAATCTAGAAATGCAAAACAAGCAAGGTAATTATGTTCTTGTTTTCTATACGCATTTGAATACATAAACATCAAGAAAATAGAACTTTGACTATCAAAATGCTAAAATATACTTACTAAAATTACCAACATGCTTTTAAATTGATTCGAGTATGTCGAAAAATGTTTTATAAACGATACACTTTATAGCTGTGAATGACTGAAGGAAAAAGTCGATCAGCAAAAACGTGTATTGTAGAGAGAACATAAAATTCTACTTACTTCTTTGGTTCTAGTGGGTGTCTTTGGTGGGGTTCTGGGAGCTGGATCATGAACGTGCTTTGAAGGCGGGGAGGCGACCCGTCTCCTGTGAGCCTTTAAAACTATGATTTAGAAGTAACAATGAACAGATAACAAACAAGAAATTAATGAGGAAACAACTCATGAGAATTTTGTTATGTGAGATTTAAATACAGATAAAAATCGCAAAGATTCACGCAAAATGGGATAACACTTGACGTGAATTATTAAAAAATTGTAGTTAGAGACTCAATCTTTTGAGTTATTTACACGTTATCATTCTAAGAAAATTGGCCTATTTTCTTGCGTTTATACAAACAGCAAGACAAACAAAGATACTTATACTTTTATTTGTTATGAATGTTTAAATTAACAGTATACAGCGCGTGCTTACAATTAAGGTTAAAAATTCAAGTGCTTTCATGCAAAATGTAGCAGAATATTTAAAGATGCTTAGAAAATTTATCCAAATCAAACATATAAAACGCATAGACAGCTCTTGGGTGACCTCATATTCAGATAAGATACTTGAATTCTACTTTTGTTTACACAACTTTGTAGTAATGGTTTCAAAACGTTTCAGATTATTCCTAATAGTGTCTGTATATTTGAAAATTTGTCTCCAGGAAGGGGAAATTTTTATGAGGCTTAATTGGGCTGAGGCTCATTTACATCTAGTTTTGGTGAGCATTTGAATTCTTAAGAGCTATCAGCCTCAATATGATCTTAATAAATCTTAAACAACACCGTGGGTAAATTTGTTTAGAGAGTGGAAAAGTAGAAATAATCCCGGGCTTCCGCTGCAATATGTCTAAGACAAAACGAAACGATAAAATTATATTATCTTGCTGTATTACCGTAAACGAAGGTTGATCGAATTGCTAGAACATATTACCTTCGTTGTAATCGACTGAGTCAAAGTTTGTTTTCCAAACCATTACCTAGAAGCAAAAATGAAACATAAAAAACCATGAAAATTATCTACGTAAAACAGATTTGTTATGTAGAAAGAAAGCGACCCCCCCCTCCCCCCTTTGTCTAGCCTCGTCCATTCTATGTCACCGATCTCTCCGCTGTCGAGCAAAGTGAAACCAGACTTGAAATGATGAACCAGGAAAAAGTTGGAAAACTGTTTGTTATTGATGCATTTTCCACAGAATTGAACCATAAAAAAGTCAAGGGTATGAAGACATAGAGCAGTTCAGCAGTCAATATGTTGGGAAATATGTTTGAGACAATATGTTGGGACAATGTTTTCCAACTAAATTTGAATGAAATAACAGGCAACTTCGTTTGACAGCTGTGCTAAATACCTTAGGGCGCTGTCTCGTGTCGATGTATGTTTCTTATGATTAACTTATAGAAATTCAAAACCTGGCCAAACACTTCATTTGAGCGTATGGCCTAGATAACTTTTTGTGAGTCTTTTCAAGCACCCGACCATGAATTCTATTGAGCTGTATTTCTCACAAATGATTTTATCAGAATCATTTGCTGTTTGCTAGAAGTTTGTTGCAAATGTACAATGAACTGTATGCATAATATCACACATTAAAAGAAAATCGTGCAAGTTTAATGGGTACGAAAACTTGGACCGTAAACTGAAATAAATTCACAAAGATTAGAGCAACGTTCACCTGTTCATCGGCACTACCTGAAGCGAAAAATTCTCCATTTCTTGAAAATGCGACTGTTGTTGCTGCACTCTAATCAAAAAACAGATTGATAAATGCAAGAAAATGAATTTAGGGGAATAGATTATCTCAAATGATATCTTTGGCATGTGATAGGGTTAAGGTGTGATAGGCCTTAATAGGGCTGGTGCTTGGGATGAGATAGGATTTAAGGTAGGCCTAAGGGTTCTTCGCACTGTACGATAAGGAGCTCTTGTGGAAAAGCCTGGCTTTCTGCTGCCTATTGAATCAACCGTGTGCAAAGATCTGGGTCTTTTGCTAAGATAAGGTTGAATCAATAGAACTGGACTCTGCTATAACCTTTGTGCATCGTCACATACTACATAATTCACAAAC